TCCTGCACCACAGGAAACCATACATGCGTCAGACTGTTTTTAGTACAGCCGAAATGAAATGCACAGTTTCACAATATTTTGAAAATTTTGCCTGATTCTAAGCACGTGTTGCTGCAGCTTACTGTAAGTAAAAAGAGTAGCAGTAGTACTACGTTTTGTTTTGGGGTTTTTTTTTTTTCGTTTTGAGGTCTTATTACTATGAAATCTAATATATATAAAAATATCAGTGTCACAGATTTTAATGACTTTATGTGCAGGTTACTAGTGAAACGTCACGTTTAGGTACGACTATCGATGTTTGTATTTCTTGTACGTTTTATGCGATCGTGTCACTTTGGTGGAACATTGTGCAGCAAAGCAGCCGATCAGGATAGACACAAAACAGCGCGCACACGCAGAGACGCGTCTGCTGCGTATTTATCGTGTCAAAAATCGCTTTGTGTTAAACAATATATACTCAGATACACAGTGTAATTGTTGGTTTCTGATGGACAGACTTTCAGCTTGTTGTGTGAATTCAAATCTTAAATGTTCCAGCAAAGGGATCCAGGTGATTTTTTTTTCTTCCTTCAAATGGCTGTACAATTATTATCTTTGTCTATTGGACAATACTTTTTACTGTTTTTAAATGTTAAATAATTTACATAGTTTTACAATAATGAATGTCCTACAGAGACTAGTTTTGTGGTGTTTTTAAATATATTTTTTAAATACATGATTTAAGTTAATTATGAGTTATTGTAATGGAAACGAATGCGCGCTCTGCCGGTGCGTTCAGTGACCTTTCTAAGGTGGTAATCTTTTGTTTCGTGGCTGATTCACTGACACGGCTGGACTTCACGTAAGAGAGCAAAGAAGACGACGCTCCTATTTACAGGTTTAAATTCAGTGAGAATTTTGAAATTTGTGAGCAGAAAACAGTGAATTTCTTTTATCTCTGCCAAGTTGTTTAGTTGGTTGTCTGCAGTGGAGGCAAATGAAGCTTATTTTTAATTAACTTTAATTGACTATTAGACTTTTTACTTTGACTTTTAACTAGTTAGGTGTGCATGATTTTGGATGATGACATTGTTTTTGTAATTATGCCTCTGTACGCGACCACGTCTGTAGACTTCAGCCAGCCATTGATTGCAAAGGGTTTTCATCCAAGTATTAAAAACAAACTTTCTATTTAAAATGTTGCTGTCCAAATCCTTTTAATATTTATAAACACAACTGTAAAAACCCCGTTGAATCAAAGCCTAAAATCTGCGTTTTAATCACATCTAGACCGTTTTCACAGCACCACAGTGGATTTTACATCAGAGGTGAAATTACAAAAAGGGTCAATTATCCAAATGTTTATGGGCTTAACTGTATATTTCAGATCACAGCAACAGTCTTGCATGTTATCAAAGTCCGGTTTTAGATCGATTTGCTTTGATATTTTGTCAAATTAATGAGCAGGTTCCAAAGATGGTGGAGTGCAGTCGAGGTTCAGAGGTCTGTTTTTGTGCAGCACTCACAATGAAAGGGAAACGTTTACTCAATGCTGAAACTTTGTGTTTTGTTTTTTTT